AGGAATGCCTATAAATCTGATAGCTACGTTGCCCAGTGGTGCCAGGAGCTCGTTAAGAGCTCATTAAGGAGAAAGAGAGGTCCTAACTGGAGTCTGGACCCTTTCCTGAATTTTTCTGAGTGGAGGGGACTTACCACAGTATTTCTTTCCCTGAGCAGCCTCTCGTGCCTGCAGCCCTGCCATCCCTGTGGCTAGGCTTTTGCGCAGCTGCAGGACAGCCAGGCTCCATGACACCATCCTCAGGGAGGTTCAGGTGGGAAATCACGGCAGTAAAACAGCCAAGGGCCCCCCGTGGCATGGCACAACTTACAGCCATACAGCTAACTTTCCACCTTTCTCCTCTCTCCCCAGAAAAGGGTGACTTTGTGCAGACTGCTGATTGGGAACCATCCCTGGACTATGCTGTCCTCCGAGTTGTGCCCATGCTGCTTGTTTTAGGTCAGCTTTATAGATTCCCTTTCCCTCACTGGCCTTTACCCATTTCAACCATCTTGCAGAAAAGCAAGCCAGCCTTGTGTTATATTTAGGCTTAAAAGCACTGTACATTTACTGGAATAGTACTTCAGGGCAATTTTCAGGTTTCTCTAAGTGCACTAGGGAATTTCTTCCCACTGCCTCGGGAAGAGGCCCAGAGGCCTGCTGCTGTTGCAAATGTAGGGATCCAAGCAGAAGCTATCACAGAACAAGCAGCATATTGAATTACTGAGTAACTAGCCTTAGGTTTAGCCAGTGTCCTCAAGCTCCAGCTTGGCAAACGGCACTGAAGCTATAAATATCCCACTTCCTCTCTGTAAAGATGCTCTCCAAAACCACCAGCTCAACTGTGTTCCCTGGAGGCGCAAGCTATAGCATGTCCAAGAACCTCATAGCCGGTGTAAGCCAGTAACAGGGGACTTAACACAGGAGATTTATGAAAGAAGAGACTGAGCGAAGGTTACATGCATCTCTGCACGGAGCAGACCAGCGAGCAAGCAGCCTGGGAATGGTCCCTTTGCTTTCTCCCTGACAGCTGAGTGCAAACGGTAGATTGAAACTGTAACATATTGCTGAACAAGAGAGCAAGAGCAGGAAAGAAAAGCTGAAAAGTACCTTCATGATAATATTACGATAACTATGTAGGCAGCTAAGTAAATCACCTTTCTATCGTTAATACTGGACGGGCTGAGACTGCCACATCCTGCACTTTTATTTCTGTGAAAGATGGGAATTAGCAGTAACCAGTAGCAAGGGATCTAAGTGCTTTTTACGTGTACTGGGGGTGGGGGGGAGAAACCCTCGTTGAATAATCTTGGATGTGATACATAAAAGCAAAAGAAACAAATCATTACAATCTGGAACTAAAAACTTAAATAAACAGTGTTTGCTAGTCACAGTGACAAAACGTATGGTCACACCTTGCTTTGGCAATTTTGATGTCAGGGCACTCAAAACTATAGGGGTTTTTTGCAAGTTTGGGAAACACACGATTCTTTTTTGCATTCTCTGGTGACAGGAGAGGCTCCCAGGGTACGATGCAGGACAGAAACTGGCTACAGAAATAACTCGGCAGAAGAGTTTTACTTGCATCTTCTCACCGTTTTACTTTTACTTCACCATTTTTCATTTCAGTTTATACTCGGGCTTTATTTTCCACTTTTCTAATCCTGTTGCAGCTATTTGCACTTAGGAAAACAACTAGTTAGAGGGCTGCAATGCCACTAGGACAAATGGGAAAAACTGAGAAAATAAGGCAAGTTCAGACCTCAAGTCATCCCTCTCAGCACCAAGGCAGCTCGGTATTACACTATCTAACACATTCCTGAAGCCCCAAAGATGGAGGTTTTAAACCTCCTGAGGTAGTCTTACCCTTAAAAAGTTTCCCCTCATGTCTGGATCTAAATCTTTCCTGCTGTAACTTAAGCCCCTGACTTCTTGTTATCACGGGAGTTGTCAGAGCAATTTGTTTATTACATTCCTCTTTGCAGCAACTGTTTGGGTATTTCAAGACAGTTATCATCTCTCCCCTTGATTTTCTCTAAGCTAAACAAACAGTTTTTTCAGACTTTTCTCATTTGTCATGTTTTCTACACCTCTGCTCATTCCTGATGCTTTCCTCTGGCTCCTTCCAACTGAATCATGTCTTTCAGGAAGTGATGTGCCCAAAACTGGACCGAGTCCCCCAGCCAAGGCCTCGCTGCTGAGTAGGGTGCACAAATTGCTCCGTCCCTTAACTACAACACTCCTGTTTATACGTCTTATTATTATGCTTGCTATTCCCTGCAGTGAAAAACATTTTCTGATTGTCAGCATTTTGCTTGCTCTTGGCACTAGATGAGTTGCAAGCTAGGCAAGAACCGAACCATCGATCTCTTTTGGTAAATTACAACTAAATTACAGCAGAAACTTCCATAGCAGCTACCTGCACTACTGAAACCTACTTACTTCAAGGCATGCAAGAGAAACATGCCCCTTTAAAAATCATACAAACCATAACACTTCAAATCAGATTTAAGTAAAATAAACTCCGTATGGGTCAAGGTTAAACACTTGAAGATCCCCACTGGTGTTTGCTGTAATAAGAGCAGTGCCATTTTCAGATCAAAGACTGTTGTGACCTACAACAGATCAGTCTCAGCAGTAAATTCCCGAGAATACAGCAGTGAAAATACAAAGCGATCTCTTCGTTGTTTGGAACGCTAACAGTGCTATTTTAATTTTAGGAAAACATTTGCATTTTTGTTTCTAACGACATTAAAGTTTAGGCAAGTGCATACTGCTTTAATTTGACCTCTCAAGCCATTTCAGCTTGAACTGATACAGTGAAAAGCCTATATTGCAGGGTCTGATCAGAGGCAGATACTCAGCTTGCAGAAGTCAGTCTAGCTTAAGTCAAGTAAGACCTAGGTTTTTACAATAGCTGAAGGTTAAAACACAGTCCAACAAAGAAACAAATCATATCCTACCTAATGCTGCCCTTTACTACTAGTCTAAGAGACATTACCAGATGCATCTTCCCAAGAGATTAACATTGTTAGCACAACACTGAGAAGTGCTTTGAGCCTGTGTAACGGTACAGCTGGATCTCGGTCTCAATTCAGGTTTACCAGACAACTTTTCCTATTCCCTCACATCCCCCCTTACCTTTTGAGATAGTTTCTCCCATAGAGGATCTGCTGCAGCAAGGTGACGACGGCAAAGGCGCAGATGAATATGAAGAACAAAGTTCTGTTTCCCAGCAAATCCCTGCTTGATGAAGGGTCAGTGTATCCCATCCTTAAAAGCTGCTGAAGCTCTGCTGGGTGAAATTCAGTCCATTGTCACGTTCATGCCCTTTCCACTGGGAAGCGGAGGGGAACACTTACTGGCTTTTCTATAAGAAATCTAAGGACAAGGTATCCCATTGTTCAGCCCAGCTGCCCCTTCCTTGTCCCTTTTGGACGTTAGCTCCAGGACTGCGCGCAATGGCTTACTTCCAGCTTAAAGTTTCCAGGAGATTCAGACGTGGGTAACATCTAAAATCATCTCTTCAGAGCTCTTTCGGCGCAGGCAGTCTGTGCTGTGCGAGAGGCATTCTGTTCCCTCTAAGCCTCTCTTGAAAACCCGCTGCTAGCAATTATCTACTTCAATCCCATTTTCATATTCCAGATGGGGGAAGCTGCAAATAAACCAGAAAACTGCAGCCAATGGCATACACAGGGCTCCAGCAACCCGCTTTGGAAACACATAGTCGTCAGCTCGTCTTTGCTTCTGCTCAGCGATTCCAGCGAAATGTACTTGCGAGGAGACGTGACTGGGGTGTGCTATTATTGAGCAAGTATGTAATGATCATGAGGATTTCATTCAGTCCCCTGCAAAAACAACAGCAGCAATCTGGTCAGGCTAGCAGGGAAGCTGCATTTTGTGCAGCAGTGTGCCATCCGTACCGTGCCTTTGGTACTGGAGTATTTGCATGCAGAATGCAGTGCCTTTAGTCATACACCGCTTGCTATTTGGGCTTCTATGTTTCTCCTGGTTATTCCTCCAGAGTAAGCATAAGCAAGGTCACTGTGCATCTCTTCAAGGACAGAGCTCTCAGCTCCTGCATGCTGATTTATTGGAGGCTCCGAGTAGCCTCACAGCCGCAGAGCGGGAGACTGCCTCTCAGTGCAGGCTTTAAAAACTATTCATTTAAAGAGACAAATATTCTGATTGTTCCTGCACCGTGAACAGTTCTCTTCTGAAAGGGTGAAGCAACAAGACTATCTATGGCCATCATAACTCTCATAAAAGCTCCCCTTTGTCGGAAGCAGAGCGATTCTGCTCCCAGGGCAATCAGTGGGAGTTTTGCTGTTGATTTCAGCGGGAGCAAAATCTGCCCTCAATCCTTCACTTCTTAAAACAAATGCCTACGGAAGCTTTCTCCGTGAATGAAATGTCTTGGCTAGGAGGTCATTTTACCCCAATAATTGAGGGGGATAAGTATTTTGAAAGCAAAACAAGGAAAAAAATCCTTCATCTAAGAGAAGGGTAAGATTTTTATGTGCATAAATTTTGCAACAGTTAAATCAGCATATGCAAAACGCTCTTGCGTGCCAGCAGCCCAGCTGTGTGAAGCAGCAAGCAGGGACTGTTTCTCGACTCTGCCTGAGCTGTAATTGGTGCTGCATGGGAAGAAGGGCCAAAGGTAACTTTGTGTGACCTGTTCAACTTCTTGTAGCTAGGGCTAGTCCTTCACATGAACTAAGGCAATTTAGGCAAGAGAAACAAAGGCTAAACCAGACCTTACCTATATTTAAGCAGCAACAAAAGTGTCTCAGGTAGGAACCTGGTCACTCTGAACTCCTTTCGCAGGCACAGACTCCAAGGGGAGATCCAACTCTTTGCAGTCCCTTGACTTTGTAGTTAAGGTGCAAGAATCTAGGTCTCTGCTATGTTCTCTTTCAATCCCTTTCAAAGCTCCCACACATGTATTTGTGAACCCTACTAAAGGCTTCATTTATCAGCTGAGCCTAAGCAAAGAGCGGTTATCCCAGATTAGAACAAATATTATCCAGCTTAATGTCTTGTCAATGTGGGGAAGAGTGGGAGAACAGGGCAAGCGTGGCGTGATACCTCCTTGGAGACACTCTCCTAGCATTTTGTGGTTCAGGATCTTCCTGAACCAAGAGAAGAAAAAGAATATTTCAGTTAGAAAAATAAACCATTTGGATGCAATTACTTGTGCTGTACAAGGAATAACACACAAAATGGGGAATGTACAAATTAAATAGCAGAACTAGAATGATTCCCTCTTGTCAAAGTCATCAACTATAGGGCCAAATACGTTGCTTTGAATGACCAGTTCATGTAAGTCCATGTAACGTGAGCAATTCCATAGAGAAACCATGCCGTTTAGCTGGACCAAGTGCCCTCTTCCTTTTCAGTAACAGGAAAAGCACCATGGCCATCAGAAGCCCCAGGCTGAGACCCCATGAGATACTATACAGGCAAATTTGCGTGGCAAAACAGAAAGATAAGACCGTTAAGGACAGAGGGGGAGCAGAAGGTACTTAAGGCTTGGAGTTGTGGGGCTTTTATTGATAGCTTTGAATATCCCCTCTGAGAAACCTGCCTCAATTGCTCCAGGAGTTGTTTTGGAATTATATCAAAGCACCAGAAAGCAGAATTTGACTATTTATTTCCTTCCATGGATTTGATGCCAGTTTTTCAGCTCTTAATCTCACCTAGGTTTTGGTGAGCACCCTTTCTGCCTTTCTTCCTCTATTCCCCTCTACTGCAAGTGATTTGTTATTGAGATATCTGCGCTGCACCAAATGCATGAGTCTATTAGCTATTCCTCCTCCTGGTCAAAAGGCCAGCATGAGCTGCAGTAAACAGCACAGCATCCCTATGTGCTGTCAGTCACGCTTTGACTCTCTGTGTCCTCTCATCCTTCTCTGCTGTATCAGAGCTGGCCAGAAGATATGGCACCTGAGAGGACTATGTGCCGGCAAGCTGCATCCCTAAAGCAAGAAGCACAGCACAAAGATATCTATTATAAATGGAGAGGGTTTTCTGTGCCAGATCTTGCACAGATACTGCTCCTGATGTCATGTGTAAAAGAAATCTATGTTCACTGCCTTCAAACCAGCACTACGCTAATGCTGCAGAACATGAAACAGGGCAGCTCTGTGCAAGCATAAAGAAATAGGATGTCTATTGACAATTTTCAAAGGATGCTCAAGGTTGCTTGCGAGATTTGTTGTGAGTGAAAAAAGTCACATGGTGCCTGCAGAAGGGCTGAATGAGCAATTGTGCCAGGGCTTGTTCCCAGAGGCCTTTTGAGAATTTGACTTGTCAACTATAGCCTCCTTCAAAGTATCAGGACTCTGTAGTGAGTTAAAGAGAACAGATTTTTTTTAAATGATTTTGCACCCTGTGCTTAAGCAAACAACTGGCAACAAAAGATCCCCTCCTGAACTTGAGAGGGTCTTGGGGGAACAGACTTTACAGTAACAGTCATGCTGCAAAAGCAGATTTGCTGAGTATGACTAGGGTCTAGTGGAGTAGGAATTGCCTATGCAATGGGCAATGTAGCTACAGTGATACCGGAAACATACAGGAAGACAAGGCAACATCTCACCACATGCTACTCAGCACTCTGCTGGAGCACAGGAACCCAGTAAATAAGATCTTTTCCATCACCAGGGAATCCAGTATCATGCCACTAATATCAGCTACTCAAAATACCTCTTAGGAGATCGTAAGAGAGAAACAGATAAGCTGCATGATATGCACAAGCTCACAAAGAATAACCCTGTTACAGCTTGTTGGCTAAAGCACTGGCCCAGATATCTTGCAGGTGGCTCAGACTCCACTTGCTCTGTGGCTTGGGTGTCCTATAGCACCCACAGAAGTATCCAAGGCAAAAAGATGTCTGCTACGCAGCAGCGGATAGGGACATGCTGTGGTTTGCTGCAAGGTGTGGACCTTTCTCCTGCACCATGACTCAATGCTCCCCTTAACGCATGCACCAGGCCAGGCATTCAAACAGCTTAGACTGTTCTTTGGGTTCAAGATGTGTTGGGTTTGCACACAGATTCAGTCCTATGCTTAAAGTGCAAGAGATTGCAATGAGGCTTGATGAAAGGCTTGAAGAGAACCAGGAGTCCTCCTGTCCATCCCAGTAATCCAACCCCGAGGAACAGTGCTCCCTCCCATGGGGGCCCTGGGCTGTGTAATTCTGCAAAGCACCCTAGTTAGCTGATGTTTAAAATGGATGAGCTTTGTGGCAAAGCGGAACGGCTCACAACCCTAGTTATATTCTCTGGGTCTATTAAAATATTTGGCTGCTGGAAGCAGTCTCTCTTAGGTGTTGCTGGCCTTTATTTGTTGTATCTGACTTGCTTGCTAAATATCATCAGAGATAATCCATCACGAAAAACCACTCCAGCCTGAGCAGTGAGATCTGAGCCCTCGAACACAAACATGAACACGCTCCAGATAGTGATGTTCTCTACTGGGAGCTCATCATTTGCTCTGAAGTTGAAATGAAGCAAAAGTGAATTTAAAAAAATTTAAAATTGAATCTCAAACAGAAAGAAATCCTAGTTAATCACTGAGACAAGGTCTCTGAAGCTCCACACAGGGCAAGCTGCATTAGCAAAAGGACAGAATCTGGTAGGAATCATATTGTACTCCTTCTGCGCAGAGAACATGCACATCTTTCTCTGCAGAAAGGACACTACACGGTCCTTATTTCTAAGCTGCAGTATATTTTTAAACACAAATGAAACAGATAAATTAACTTCTGATGTACCTGTCCAGTTGGGAATTTCCTTACATACCTTTCCCTATAAGTGTCATTCAAATCAGTGTTTGACAGATTATGTGCTGTCACTTCAGTTGGAAGCAAGGGCTTTTAGTGTCTTGGACAGAAGGACTGGTCTGCTGGCTGTTTAAATCACAGTGTACGTAACTGAGCATGTATCACACAGGTCCAGAGTAAAGCAAAACAAGCTTCACAACCCTCTTTGGGATTTGTTCTTTCTGTGACTGTTCAGCCACTCTACACACCTTTCATGAATGTTATGCACATTAAAGAATTTTCACATGCAACACAGCAGAATATTATGGGTTGGAAAAGGTTTAGCACAGCACCCTTTATATCTCACTCTTTTGCCTTTTCTTTTCCAAAATAATAAAATGAAATCAGGTCTATTTACAGTTTCTACTAGCCTTCTGTCAACTGCTAGATCCCTGATTTTGCAAAGCACTAGCACATAGGTATATGCCTGGAAGGTGTTACTGAATATGAAACTCATAAACATATGCTTATCAATATTAATACTTTTACAGATATAAAACATGAATTTATTAGCATAATCTAGTGCTTAACACAAGGTCTAGTCCCCCATCACTGCCATAAATCCTTATGTCTAAAACTCAGATATTAAAGGAAACTAAAAGGATTCAACTGAACTGTAAACATTAATTTCCTTTTGAGCGGGGCTAAGCCACGAGGAGATGACACGGGGCCCACTGGCACCACGCCTCCTACCTGTGGAGCTGTGTGGATGGGAGGAAGTCTCCTGAAAGTACCATACATATGGTTCGTCCACTGGATATCCATTGCATCATCTACTGAATTACGACTATATTCCTTCCAATTAAAGTCATACAGGCAATGGGGGAGAAATGCACTCAGTGCATAAAACATCCCTCTTTTTACACTGCGGACAACATCTCTGCTGGGAAAGGAACGACCTCTTTCTTTCACTGGTAGGAAGCTCTGACCTGGAGACTGCCATGGCTCCCTGGCTATAGTGCTGCACGTTTTCTGTTAACTGTTTCTTAGAGCAGGGCTTGTGCAAGGCTTGCTAAAATGTAC